AATGCACAAAGATGGGAAGAAACCAACGTAAAAAGAATGAAAATACCAAAAGCAGAATGCCTCTCCTCTTCAAAGGAATCACAGCTCCTGAGCAGCAAGAGAACAAGACTGGATGGAGAATGAGTCTGAATTGACAGAAATAGGCTTCAGAAGGTGAGTAATAAGAAACTTCTCTGAGCTAAAAGACCATGTTCTAACCCAATTCAAAGAAACTAAGAACATTGAAAAAAGGTTTGATGAAATGCTAACGAGAATAAAAAGCTTAGAAAGAATATAAATGAATTGATGGAGCTGAAAATCAACACAAGAAGTTCGTGAAGCATACACAAGTTTCAATAGCTGAATTGACCATGCAGAAGAAAGGATATCACAGATTGAAGATCAACTCAATGAAATAAATGGGAAGGCAAGATTAGAGAAAAAAGAATAAAAAGAAATTAACAAAGCCTCTAAGAAATATGGGATTATGTGAAAAGACCTAATGTGATGGAGAGAATGAATCCAGGCTGGAAAACACTCTCCAGGATATTATCCAGGAAAACTTTCCCAACCTAGCAAGGCAGGCAAATATGCAAGTCCAGTAAACACAGAGAACACCACAAAGATATTCCTCAAAAGAGCAACCCCAAGGCATATAAGTGTCAGATTCACCAGGTTGAAATGAAGGAAAAAATGCTAAGGGCAGCCAGAGAGAAAGGTCGGGTTACCTACAGAGGGAAGCCCATCAGACTCACAGCAGATCTCAGCAGAAACCCTACAAGCCAGAAGAGAGTGAGGACCAATATTCAACATGCTTTAAGAAAAGAATTTTTAACCTGGAGTTTCATATCCAGCCAAACTAAAAGTTTCATAAGCAAAGGAGAAATAAAATCCTTTACAAACAAGCAATTGCTCAGAGATTTCATCACCACCAGGCCTGCTTTATAAGAGCTCCAGAAAGAAGCACTAAACATAGGAACAACCAGTAGCAGCCACTCCAAAAACATACCAAATAGTAAAGGGCATCAACACAATGAAGAAGCTGCATTAACTAACAGGCAAAACAAACAGCTAGCATCAAAATGGCAGGATCAAATTCACACATAACAATATTAACCTTCAATGTAAATGGGCTAAATGCCCCAGTCAAAAGACACAGACTGGCAAATTGGATAAAAAGTCAAAACCCATTGGTGTTCTGTATCCAGGAAACCCATCTCACATGCAAGGATACACATAGGCTCAAAACAAAGGGACGGAGGAATATTTACCAAGCACCTAGAGAGCAAAAAAAACCAGGAGTTGCAATCTGAGTCTCTGATAAAACAGACTTTAAACCAACAAAGATCAAAAGAGACAAAGAAAGACATTACATAATGGAAAATGATCAATGCAACAAGAAGAGCTAACGATCCTAAATATATACACACCAAATACAGGAGCACCCAGATACATAAAGCAAGTTCTTAATGACTTACAAAGAGACTTAGGCTCCCACACAATAATAGTGGGAGACTTTAATACTCCACTGTCAATATTAGACAGATCAATGAAACAGAAAATTAACAAGGATATCCAGGACTTGAACTCAGCTCTGGACCAAATGGACCTAATAGACATCTACAGAACTCTCTACCCCAAATCCACACAATATACATTCTTCTCAGCACCACACCACACCTGCTCTAAAATTGACCACATAATTGGATGTAAATCACTCCTCATTGTTCAGCAAATGCAAAACAATGGAAATCATAACAGTCTCTCAAACCACAGTGCAATCAGGTTAGAACTGAGAACTCAGAAACTCACTCAAACCATACAACTTCATGGAAACTGAACAACTGGCTCCTGAATGTTGACTGGATAAACAATGACATGACGGCAGAAATAAAGATGTTCTTCAAAACAAGAATGAAGACACAACATACCAGAATCTCTGGGACACATTAAAAGCATTGTCTAGAGGAAAATATATAGCAATAAATGCCCACATGAGAAACAAGGAAATATCTAAAATTGACACCCTATTGTCAAAATTGAAAGGGCTAGAGGATCAAGATCAAAAAAACTCAAAAGCTAGCAGAAGACAAGAAATAACTAAAGACAGAGCAGAACTGAAGGAGATAGAGACACAAAAAAACCCTTCAAAAAATCAATCAATCCAGGAGCTGTTTTTTTTTAAAAGATCAACAAAATAGACCACTAGCCAGATTAATAAAAGAGAAAATAATAATCAAATAGATGCAATAAAAAATGATAAAGGGGATATCACCACAGATTCCACAGAAATACAAACCACCATCAAGAGATTACTATAAAAAACTATGCACATAAACCAGTAAATCTGGAAGAAATGGATAAATTCCTGGACACTTGCATCTTCCCAAGCCTAAGCCAGGAATAAGTTGAAACTCTGAATAGACAATAACAAGGGCTGAAGTTGAGGCAGCAGTGAATAACCTACCAACCAAAAAAAGCCCAGGTCCAGATGGGTTCACAGCTGAATTCTACCAGACAGTATGAGGAGCTGCTACCACTCCTCCTGAAACTATTTCAAACAATCCAAAAAGAGGGAATCCTTCCCAAATCATTTTATGAGACCAACATCGTCCTGATACCAAAACCCGGCAGAGACTCAGCAAGAAAAGAAAACTTCTTTTGAAAACATCATGGCCAATATCCATGATGAACATAGATGCAAAAATCTTCAACAAAATACTGGCAAACCGATTGCAACAGCACATAAATAAGCTTATCCATCACGATCACATAGGCTTCATCCCAGGGATGCAAGGCTGGTTCAACATAAACCAGTCTGTAAACGTAATTCACCACATAAACAGAACCAAAGACAAAAACCATGTGATTATCTCAACAGATGCAGAGAAAGCCTTTGACAAAGTTCAACAGCTCTTTATGCTAAAAACTCTCAATAAACTAGGTATTGACAAACGTATCTCAAAATAAAAGCTATTTACGACAAACCCACAGCCAATATCATACTGAATGGGCAAAACCTGGAAGCATTCCCTTTGAAATCTGGCACTAGACAAGGATGCCCTCTCTCACCACTCCCATTGAAGATAGTACTGGAAGTTTTATCCAGAGCAATCAGGCAAGAAAAAGAAATAAAGGGTATTCAATTAGGAAATGAGGAAGTCAAATTGTCTCTATTTGCAGATGACATGATTGTATGTTTAGAAGACCCTATCATCTCAGCCCAAAATCTCCTGAAACTGATAAGCAACTTCAGCAAAGTCTCAGGATACAAAATAAATGTGCAAAAATCACAAGCATTCCTATACACCAATAACAGACTTAAAGAGAGCCAAATCAAGAACAAACTGCCATTCACAACTGCTGCAAAGAGAATAAAATACCTAGGAATACAACTAACAAAGGATGTAAAGGAACGTAAGGGACCTCTTCAAGGGGAACTACAAACCACTGCCCAATGAAATAAGAGAGGACACAAACAGATGGAGAAACATTCCACACTCATGTTTAGGAAGAATCAATAGTGTGAAAATGGCCATACTGCTCAAAGTAATTTATAGATTCAATGCTATCCCCTTCAAGCTACCAATAACCTTCACAGAACTGGAAAAAACCACCTTAAACTTCATATGGAACCAAAAGAGAGCCTGCATAGCCAAGTCAATTCTAAGGAAAAAGAAGAAAGCTGGAGGCATCATGCTACCTGACTTCAAACTACAAGGCTACAGTAATCAAAACAGCATAGTACTGGTAACCAAAACAGAGATACAGACCAATGGAACAGAACAGAGGCTTTGCAGGCAATGCCACACATCTACAACCATCTGATGTTTGACAAACCTGACGAAAACAAGCAATGGAGAAAGAATTCCCTGTTTAATAAATGGTGTTGGGAAAACGGGCTAGTCATGTGCAGAAAGCAGAAACTGGACCCCTTCCTGACACCTTACAATAAAATTAATTGCAGATGGATTAAAGACTTAAAACATAAGACCTAACACCATAAAAACCCTAGAAGAAAACCTAGGCAAAACCATTCAGGACATAGGCATAGGCAAGGACTTCATGACTAGAACACCAAAAAGCATTGGCAACAAAAGCCAAAATAGACAAATGAGATCAAATTAAACTCCAGAGCGTCTGCATATGCAAAAGAAACAATCATTAGAGTGAACTGGCAACCAACAGAATGGGAAAAATCTTTTGCAATCTACCCATCTGACAAAGGCTAATACCCAGAATCTACAAAGAACTAAAACAGATTTACAAGAAAAACACAAACCAATTCAAAAGTGGGCAAAGAATATGAACAGACACTTTTCAAAAGAAGATATATATGAGGCCAACAAACATGAAAAAATGTTCATTATTACTGGTCATTAGAGAAATGCAAACAAAACTACATTGAGATACCATCTCATGCCAGTTAGAATGGCGATCATTAAAAAATCTGGAGACAACATGTTGGAGTGGATGTGGAGAAATAGGAACACTTTTACACTGTTGGTGGGAGTGTAAATTAGTTCAACCATTGTTGAACTACAGTGTGGCAATTCCTCAAGGACCTAGAAATAGAAATTCCATTTGACCCCACAATTCGATTACTGGGTATATACCCAAAGGATTATAAATCATTCTATTATTAAGGACATATGCACACGAATGTTCACTGCAGCACTGTTTACAATAGCAAAGACTTGGAACCAACCCAAATGCCCATCGTCAATAGACTGGACAGGGAAATGTGGCACATAGACACCATGGAATACTATGCAGCCATAAAAAACGATGAGTTTGTGTCCTTTGTAGGGACATGGATGAACCTGGAAACCATCATTCTCAGCAAACTGACACAAGAGCAGAAAATCAAACACCATGTGTTCTCACTAATAGGTGGGTGTTAAACAATGAGAACACATGGACACAGGGAGGGGAGCATCACACACTGGGGTTTGTTGGTGGGGGGAGGTCGGGGAGGGATAACATGGAGAGAAATGCCAGATGTAGGTGATGGGGAGCAAGGCAGAAAACCACATTGCCATGTATGTACCCATACAACAATCCTGCAAGTTCTTCACATATACCCCCAAAACCAAAAACACAATAAAATACGTATATATTTTTTAAAAAGTGCTTAATAAGTGTTAGTTTTGTTACTATTAGCACCATGCTAGAAAATTCTGTTGCTTAGTTTGCTTCTAAACTGAGGATGATTTTGCCCCTCCCTCCCTAAGGACATCTGGTGATATGTGGAGACATTTTGGTTTTCATAACTGAGAGTTGTTGCTGCAGGCATCTTACGGACCAGGGATGCTGCTAAAGATCCTAAAATGTACTGAACAGCCCCCTAAACCATCTAAATGTCAGTAGAGCTGAGGGTGAAAAACCCTCACAGAAACCCTGCAGGCTAACAAAACTTTGCTAGTTCACTAGTGGGTAAGATGTCAGAAGTTGTGGAAGAATTCAGATTCATGTCTGTTACATGAAACAACAGGACACACTTCTGTCTGGAATGTGTTTGGCACTGTTGTAGAATAAAGTTTCAGAAAAATTTAATGAAGGTATTTTTAAAGTAAATCTCATCAATCTGGGAATGTTAAAACATGTAGGTGGACAGAACTTAGACTGTCTCCCTAGTAAACTTGTTGATCCATGATTTTTCCCCACTTCAAGCCCCAACCTTTGGCTCATCAGGTAGAGCAAAAGCATTGGCCCTTCGTAACAGGACTCACACAGAGACCTAAGCAGCCAAGGCAGTGGCAGAACTGATCAGGCCTAAGAATATCTCTGATTCTTCTTTTCCTTAGAGGCTGCATACAATCTGTCCCCAGATCCTGGAACCTTTTTAGTGCAAAACAAATCCTGAATCTTTCCCCTTCTCTCCATCACCTTAGTTACTCTGGTCTAATAGTCTAGATTATGCTAAGAGCCTCTTCTCCCGTCTCCCATCTATTCCTGGCCCATGTAGTTTTTAGCAGCCAGAGTGATCTTTGAAAAATGCGTATCACATCATGCCATTCTAACTTAGATGGCTTCCCTGAGAATAAAATCTGACCTCCTTTTATGGCTTTCATATAGCTATATATGATCTGATCCCCTACCTCCCCCTCCGGTCTCATTTCATACCAGCCTACCCTTCATGCTTCATCCATGTTGGCCTTCTTTCAGAACATAAATATGAAAGTAAGTTAGATGGGAACCTGCATTTGGCCAGGCTGTAACAAAAACATTTGGACATAAAATTAAATTTACAAAGAGGAATCACCATTTCTAAACATGGCTTAAAACTGAGCTAGTTAATCTAGTCACAGTGCAGACAAATTGACGTAGAGCTTAATTGTTCAATTCTATACCAAACTAGTCCGGGTATCAAGTAAACCAAGAATAGGTTTCCTCAAAGTAATAAAAGAGATTGAAGATTCAAGGTCAGATACACATAGATTTCACTAGTGATAATGACTTTACATATGTCTTATAAATAATCTGCCCAGAGATGATGCATCATTGGATTCATGAGTTGGCACTTACTTGCAGCTTCTGCCAGTGAAAAAAACAAAGCAGCTTTTTTTCTTAGTATTGATTTCTTTTTAATTGCCCTGTAGTCCAAGAGTGTGTTTGGAATGAATAGCAGCTTTTTTTTGATAGCAAATAAAAAATAAATGAATCTTATTTTTTTCTGTACCAGTTCCCAGGAAATCTCAAGAAAATACAACAGGGTAAAATATTTTTAAAGCCAAATTTGCCCTGTAATCCCAGCACTTTGGGAGGCCAAGGCGGGTGGATCACAAGGTCAAGAGATCGAGACCATCCTGGTCAACATGGTGAAAGCCCGTCTCTACTAAAAAAAAAAAATACAAAAAATTAGCTGGGCATGGTGGCGCGTGCCTGTAATCCCAGCTACTCAGGAGGCTGAGGCAGGAGAATTGCCTGAACCCAGGAGGCAGAGGTTGCGGTGAGCTGAGATCGCGCCTTTGCACTCTAGCCTGGGCTGGAGTAACAAGAGTGAAACTCCGTCTCAAAAAAAAAAAAAAAAAAAAGCCAAATTTGCCTGAGAACTCTTTCTGATTATTTCCAAACCCTGGGCAAAGGAGCTAATATTTATTATTAAGGTTAGATTAAAAGCTGCTAAAATGTAGTTATAAAAAAAGAAGTACTTTTAATAGTTACATTAAAGTTAAAAATTATAAAAATTAACTATTGCCTCATTTTATGAAATCTACTAACATGCTATGTTGCTTTTTCTAGTCTCTGAAATAAAATCTTTCCCCTTCTGTACATATTATTTTTTAAAATCTCAATGATTAAAGCCATAAAGGAAAAATGCCTGGTAACTTAAAATGTCAGATATGAAATCCACTTTTATCATTTATAGTTCAGAGATCTGGCTGTTTTAATATACTAATGGGGCAGTGGAGACAGCTCCCAGAGAGAGCTGCTTAATAGAGGGATGGTTAAGTGAAAACATAAGGATTTTCCATCTGTTAGAAAACAGTATGTGGTAACCAGTTCTTATGGTTAGATACATTAATCGAATGACACAGGAAATACAGGACACTACATTTTGCTTGAAGAGCTCTTTTTGAGGAAAAAAAATGAATAATGAAAAAATTTATAAGGCTGCTAGCTGCTTCAAAAGCCAGAAAACAACTCAAAGGCTATTACTGTTTTATATGTGCTAGAAATGGCTAAGTTAATACTTAAACTGTTTAAGTTTTAATCAGCATGAACATTCCTGAAAGAGCTTCAAAAGTGAAGATGAGTAAGATAGGAGGATTTAAGATCCTGTCCCCAAAGTATGGTAGATATGAAAGTTTACAGATTATTATATTCCAGTTGTTTTTACAGGTTTCTGTGAATTATATTACAAGCTATACCAGTGGAAGATATTTCCAAATACCAAATACTTTTTGGTTCATTGGTAAATATTTCCAAAACAGAAATACTTTTTAACACAACGAAGCAGTTGAATACTACAATAGTTTATTTTATTCTTTTTTTTTTTTTTTTTTGCAGGTGGGAAAGGAGAAAGGTAAGGGTGGGAATTTTATGGTAATACAAATGTTACATAGTCCCCTAACATTTCCACTACATTATAAGCCTATAGGAGTTCTTTTAAAGACTTCCACGGCTTCCATGGTACTATGAGTGGTATGAAAAGTACCCACAGATGTGTTCTACACTTCCCTCTATGTTTTCAAGTACATGCAGTAAGGAGAAAATTGCAACAACCAAAGGGATTTTTTTTTTAAAACATCTAGGTATATATCTTGTCAAAACCATTAGAGCATGCCAGAACATGGTATAACAAATAAACCTTTTACTTAAGATGTCAAATCTCATGATCACCAAAAAATTCTAAAGCAAAAATACAGTTAGCCCAAACTTAACTGTTATTGAAATTTCAAGTGTAATGGTTTTATTTTCCAACTGCTTCATGATTTTGGCAGTCTTGTCTTTTTTTAATCATAAAATATGTTTAATGACTGAATTTTGATGACACTAATATTTTATTTATGGTTTTTATTTAAGAGGTTTTGCTTTTATAATAATAATTGCTACTTTGTTGAGTTCTATGTACCAGGCACAATTGTAGGCATTTTTCATAAACTGATTTAAATCTCTCCCACCACACACCTTGTGAAGTAGGTACTATTTAGTTATATTTACACCTGAATGGTTGTTCAGTGAGGTTAAGAAACTTGCACAAGGTCACACAGAATTCCAGCCCAGGTCTATTAGACTCTAAAATCTTGGCACAGTCTTAACTGTTAGGTTGTATTGTCTCCTTAGGTTATGTATGTAGGATTTTTGGGTATGTTTAAATATTCACCTTTGATTCACAGTGTTAAGAAATACACTTAAGCCACTACCTATTTACTTAGAGATGAAAATGTTTCCAAATTCATAAGTCAGAACACATTTTTCTTCAGATATTTAACACAGAGAAGGGATGAAGACCATATTTTATTCCCATCTCCCATGGTTTCATATTTTTATAAACATTTCTAGAATGCTATACAATAGCAGCTATATTCTGCAACTTTAATTAAAGGTCGAACATTTCTTCTATATTCTGATGATGTAGTGATAGTTAGTGCATGCACTAAAACAATCAGATGACTCCACCAAGGGAAAGAGCATTGCATTAGCAACTCTTCGGGGGAAATGTGTTAGTGAATTATTTCATGAATGGAGTAAGAATAAAATGATTGTCTTAGAGGCTATAAATAAATCCATTTAAGTTAAAACTCAAGTCTAGGAATTGATACCTGCTTTGGCCAAATTTTATTTTGGGTAATCTAACTTTAAAAAAAAATCTACCTTTCCCTATAGTATTTTAAATGGTTGTTTTATATTACTCTTTATTGGTTCTAACTTGGTTGATATTATCTATGCAGATTAACCCAAAGCCTTTCTGAATAAAGATTTATCATCCTCAAGAGAAAAACGAATGGCAAATATTGTGCCAGACCTCAAGTACTTAAAAAGCATTTCCTTGTACTAAGTACAGAAGGTTCATTCTTCTTCTTTCATTATTCTTTTTCAGGCCACTAGGAAATGAGGGTGTACAACACCCTTCCAGAGCCAACTTCAACAAAACTCAAATTTATGTACATCCTAGAATACTAGTGTGTTCCAATCAAGAAATTAAATTTTAAAAAACCATCCATCTTAGGTACACTTGGGGCACTGGGCCTACATTATTTTTGCATAAAGCCTAATTGCTTCTAGATGACTTCTGCTTGTTGATTAGATTTGTTGCAGCTCTCAGAGTGGCAAAGGTGACTATAGAAAATCATAAAATATCCTTCAAAACAGTGCATACAAATCAATAATAAAATAATATGATCCCAATAGAAATGTGAACTAAGGGATGCTAGGTTACAAAAGCAGAAATTATGGGTAATTTACCTTGTTAATGTAGAATATGATGAAATTAGTATTATCATATACTGCTAGTAGACTTGAACTTTCAGCAAATTAGTTTGTCTCAAAAATGGTCTTTCCCTTTCTCTTTGACATAGTGAGCTGAAGAGAAGGAGAAGTAGGGGTAGGGTGGGGGGAATGACAAGAGAAGGAGGAGAATGGGAAGAGTGAAAGCCATGAAATGGTAGTGACTGAAAAGAGTATGGTGGTATTTACAAGATAGTGTTTGGAGTCGGGAAGTTGAATTGCAGCCCTGCCACTTACCTTTAGCTGGCTGTGTACCCTCAGGTAATTTACTTGACCTTTCTAAGTCTCATTTTCCTCATCCGTGAAATAGACAGTACTTTCCTAATTAGGCTGCTCTGAAAACTAATTGAATTCATGTATGCAAAGTAAACTGTTTGCTTTTATACTACATAATAGTATGTGTTATATGCTTATAAGACCTAAAATGCAAAATTATCAAAATCTGATTTGGTGCAGTGCCCATCCCAATCCATGTTAATCCCAAATAACCCATTTGATTCAAATAACACTGACTTCAGTAGAAAAAGGCATGGTTCTCCTGAGCGATTACAGCTACAGGCAAATTAAAAAAAGAGTGCCATGATACAGACCAACCTATAGCACCAACTCTCTCAGTCTCCTTCAGTCACAGCAGTACAGACCTTAGGATCTTTATCTCTGGACATGCGGTAATAAAATAGTTCCTTTTCAAATAACTCAGGAAAGCACTGATTTCTTAGGACCCATAGCCATGGTAGTAATTCCTCACCCAACCTGCATCCTCAGTTATTTCATTGCTTTGTGGCCCTTCTGAAAAGTATTCCTTTAGAAGAACTGAGAAATACTCCCTTTTCTGACAGATGGCAGATACAGAGAGTCACAACTTAGCAGAAACCCTGAGTAGAAAACCACCACAAGAACCAGTACTGGTAGCAAAGCCTGAACTGTAATAAACAAATTGCCATAGACTCAGTGTGGACAATTTTGAGAGTTAAAAACTTCCAGGGGACCCAGTGCTTTCGTGAGTTTTACCTCCTGGAGCTCCACCAGGAAAAATCTCAGGTATTGGGGGTAATGGGGAGACACATTCTATTCTGAACAAGGCCTTCCCCCAAGAAAAAATATTTTACCAGATCATAATCTACTGTGGTTTTAGAATCTAACTGACCAACTCCAGGGCAAAACCCAACTCCAGCTAGCTCTAACTTTCTATATGGAACAGAAAATACCCAACTCCAGCGCTCTCCAGCCATCTGGTCCCACCTAATTCTGGGAAAAGAAGTGAAGGTCACTTGTGAAGTTCGGACCTAGGGCCACAGGCTCACTTAAAGACTAACAGGCCAAGCATGGTGGCTCACGTCTATAATCCCAACACTTTGGGAAGCTGGGGTGGGAGGAGCAGTTGATGACAGATGCTCAAGAACAGCCTGGGCAACACAGAGAGACCCCATTTCTTAAAAAAAAAAAAAATTAGCTGGGCATGGTGCTGTGTGCCAGTAGTCCCAGCTATGAGCACAGGAGGTAGAGGCTGCAGTGGGTGAAGATCATGCCACTGCATTCTAGGCTGGGTACCAGAGTGAGAGCTTTACTCTGTCCTAATTTTTTTAAAAGGTTGATATATAATCATAAAATTATAGAACTATACCTCACTACCACAGGACTAATGGTCTATTTACTGCAACAGACTAATTTACATAGGTCTATTTATTACCAATAGACTAATGGTCTATTTACTGCAATTCTTTCCACCCAGTACATCATGTCCAACTTTCAACAAAAAATTAACAAAGCATACTAAAAGGCAAAACCACTGCTTGAAGAAACAGAACAGATATCACAAACACAGTCAGATATGGCAGGAATGTTGGAATTATCAGATCAGGAATTTAAAACAACCACAGTTAATATTCTAAGGGCACTACTGGAAAAATTAGGCAACATGCAACAATGGTTGGATAATGTAGGCAGGGAGATGGAAATTCTAAGAAAGAATTAAAAAGAAGTGCTAGAGATCAAAAACACTGTAACAAAATGAATGCATTCGATTGGCTCATTAGTATACTGGACAAAGCTTAAGAAAAGTATCTCTGAGCTTAAAGCACATGTCAGTAGAAACCTACACAACTAAAAAGCAAAGAGAAAAAAGACTGAAAAAAAAAGAACAATATCCAACAATGTGGAACAACTACAGAAAATGTAACACATGCATAATTGAAACATCAAGAAAATTAAAAGAGAAAAGAACAGAAGCAATAAATAAAGTAATAACGACTGGGAATTTCCTGAAACTAGTTTCAGACACCCCACCACAGATCCAGAAAGTTCAGAGAACACAAAGCAGGATAAATCCCAAAAAAAGCAAGAAGAAAAAATAAAGGAAGAGGAGCAAAAAGAAAAAAAGAATGAAGAAAAATGAAGAGAATCTGAGGGAATTACAGCATCAAATAGAAGAAAACATGCATTATGGAAACCTCAGAAGGAGAATCAAGAAAGGGGTAGAGGACCTATTTAAAGAAATAATGGTCAGAAATTTCCCAAATCTGAGAGAAATAGATATACAAATTCAAGAATCTCAGATAATTCCAACCAGAATAAATCTAAAGGGATCAACACTGAGACATATCATCATATTATAATTAAACTGTCTAGTGACAGAGATCTTGAAAGCAGAAAAAAAAAAAAAAAAAAAAAAAAGCAACCAAGTACATACAAAGGAGCTTATATTAGATTCTAAGCAGACTTAGCAGCAGAAACCCTGCAGGCTAGGAAGTGGGATGATGTATTCAAAGTACAGAAAGAAAAGCAGTGCCAATCAAGAATGCTATGTTTAGTAAAAGTGCCCTTTTAAAAAAAGGAAGAAATTAAGACTTTTACAAATAAAATTTGAGGGAGTTTATCACCACTACTAGAAATATTCTATAGGAAATTCCGAAAGGGCACCTATAAGTTGAAGTGAAAAGATGATTAACAGGAACAAAAAACCCATATATTAATAAAAACCTAAGTCCCAGGCAAAGGTAAATAAATAGACAAATTTAGAACCTGTATGATTGTAATGTAGGTGAGTAAGTCACTTATAAATCTGGTATTGAATTTTTTTTATTCTAGACAGGAACTGGCTCTGTCACCATGCTGGAATGCAGTAGCATGATCTTGACTCTCTGCAACTTTTGCCTCCCAGGCTCAAGCCTTCCTCTTGCCTCAGTCTCCCAAGAAGCTGGGACTACAGGCACTTGCCACCATGCCTGGCTAATTTTTGTGTTTTTTGTAGATCTGAGGTTTCACCATGTTGCTCAGGCTGGTCTTAAACTCCTGAACTCAAGTTATCTGCACACCTTGGCCTCCCAAAGGGATGGGATGCAATTACAGGCATGAGCCACCACTCCTGGCCCAGAATTTTTTTAAAAGCATAAAAAGTAATTATCAATCTATATTAAGTGATAAGCAATGTAAAAACAGGCAATTTTAATGATCTATAATATAAAATGGGATGCAGAGAGATATATAAAGGAGCATGCTTTTTGTATGTGATGTTACTTTGTACGTGATGTTAAATATTTAAAATTTGTCAGTTTAAAATAGATCATTAGAACTTTTAAGATGTTTTATGTAATTACAAGAGTAACTATGAGGAAAGTATCTGTAGAATACATACAAAGGGAAATAATGAAATCAAAACATGGCTAGAAAAAAATCAACAAAAAACAAACACAGCGAGAGGAAAGACAAAGCTGTAAGACAGACAAAAAAACAATGAACAAAATTAATACTAAATCCTTTCCTATCAGTAATTACTTTAAACATAAAAGGATTAAACACACCAAAGTAATACCAAATCCTTTCCTATCAGTAATTATTTTAAACGTAAAAAGATAAACCATACCAAGACATAGATTGATTGAATGGCTAAAAAATTTGAGATCCAACTGTAAGCTGCCTACAAGAAACTCACTTTATATCTAAAAACACATTGGCTGAAAGTGAAAAGGTGGAAAAAGGTATTCTATCCAAATGAGAAACTGGAGAGCAGAACTAGCCATACATATATCAGATAGAATAGACTTTAAGGGGGAAAAAAAACTATCATAAGAGAAAAAGGGAGATATTATATAATGACAAAATGGTAAATTCACCAAAAAGATATAACAATAAATACATATACATCTAACATCAAAGCAGTGGGATATGTGAAGCAACATTGACAGAACTGAAGGAAGATGGCCAGGCACGGTGGCTCGTGCCTGTAATCCCAGCACTTTGGGAGGCCAAGATGGGTGGATCACCCGAGCTCAGGAGTTCAAGACCAGCCTGGTCAACATGGTGAAACCCCATCTCTACTAAAAATACAGTTACCCAGGCATAGTGGTAGGTGCCTATAAGCCCAGCTACTCAGGAGGCTGAGGCAGGAGAATCACCTGAACCCAGGGGGAGGAGGATGCAGTGAGCCAAGATTGCACCACTTCACTCCAGCTTGGGCAAAAGATTGAAAATCCATCTAAAAAAAAATTTTTTTTAAAGAACTGAAGGAATAAATGAGCAGCAACACAGTACTAACAGGCCACATCAATACCTCACTTTCAGTAAGAATAGAACAACAAGACAGAAGATCAAACAGAAGACACAGATGACTTGAATGACTCTTTAGACCAATTGGAACTAACAAACATACAGAACACTCCACCCAACAACAGGGAATACACATTTCTTCTCAAGTGCACATGTAATATTCTCCAACAGAAACTACATGTTAGGTCACAAAACGAGCCTTAAATATAAGAAAATTGAAGTCGTACAAATAAATTCTCCAATCTCAGCACAATGAAACTATAAATCAATAGCAGAAGAACAAGCAAATCCACAAATGTGTGGAAATTAAGCAATGCAGTGTAAAACAACCAATGAGTCAAAGAAGAAATCACAAGGGAATTTAAAAAATATCTGGAGATAAAATGAAAACACAGCATACCGAAACTGATGGAATGCAACAAAGCAGTATTAACAGGAAGAAAGACCTCAAATCAACAACTTAGCCTTACACTTAAAGGAATAAAGAAGATAAACAAAATCCACATCTAGAAGGAAGAAAATAACAAAGATCAGAGCAGCCATAAATAAAACAAATAGGAGAAAAGATAGAAAAAATACAATTAAACCAATAGTTGGTATTTTGAAAAGATGAACAAAATCAGCAAATCTTTAGTTGCAATAACTAAAATGGAAAGAAGACTGAAATAACTAAAATCAGAAAGAAAAGAGAAGATGTTCAACTGATGTCACAGAAATAATAAGAATTTTGAGACTTCTATTAAATTACAATCAAACCAGATAATCTAGAAGAAATGGACAAATTCCTAGAAACATATAGCCTACCAATATTAAATCATGTAGAAATATATGTGAACATATTTTTATTACTAGAGTAGATATGTGAACATATACCTATAACTAGTAAAGAACTGAAACAGTAATAATAATAATAATAAAACCCTCCCAGAAACAACAACAAAAAAGGCCAGAACCAGATAAATTCACTGGAGAAGTCCTTCAAACATTTAAATAAGACCTAACACTAATCCTTCTCAAAGTCTTTCAAAGAACTGAAACACTTCCAAACTCATTCTGTGAGTTCAGAATTACCTGAATACCAAATGAGACAAACATATAAGAAAATAAAACTGCAGCCAAATACCTCTTAAGTATACTGATATGAAAATCCTCAACAAAATGCTAGTAAACTGAATACAACAGTACCTTAAAAGGATTATACACCATGACCAGTGGGACTTATTCATGGAATGAAAGGATGGTTCAACATGTAAAAATAAATCTATTTAATACACCACATTAACAAGATGAAGGACAAAACCACATGATCATTCCAATTGATGCAGACAAAATTCAACAATCCATGATACAAACACTCAATAAACTAGGAACAGAAAAAAAGTACCTCAGCATAATAAAATTCATATATGAGAAGGCTACATTTAATATCACAGTCAACAAAGACTGAAACTTTCCCTCTAAGATCAGGAATAAGGCAAGGATGCCCACACCACTACTATTCAACACAGTACTAGGAGGTCTATCCAGAGCAATTAGACAACAAAATGAAATAGAAAACATAGATTGGAAAATTAGTAAAATCAGTTCCCTTCACAGATGACATGTTTTATAAAAACTGTTAAAATTAGTAAATTCAGCAAAGTTACAGGATGCAAAATCAAAGTTTAGAAACTGCATTTCTATACACTAACAATCAATTTACAAAGGAAATTATCCCCCAACCAAAGGAGCTTGAAAAAAAAGAAATTAAGAAAACAATTCCATTTACTATAGCAACAAAAAGGATAAAATAGGAATGACCTCAACTAAGAAGGTAAAAGATTTCTACACTACACTACACTATACTACACCACACTACACTACACTACTTTGATTTCTTACAAGAAATCAAAGAAGATAGAAATAAATGGAATGATATTCCAGGCTCATGGATTGTAAGACTTGACATTGTCACACTGTCCATGCTACCCACAGTGATCTAAAAATTCAATGTACTTCTTATCAAAATACCAATTACATTTTTTGCAGAAACAGAAAACAGCATCCTAAAATTCTCAAGGGACTATGAATAGCCAAAACAATCTTGACAAAGAACAGAGTTAGAAGACTCATTTCTAACTCTGATTCAAAACATTCTACACAGCAATAATTAAGATGGTATGGTATAAAGATAGATATATACACCAATGGAACAGAATTAAGAGTCTAGGAATAAACCCTTATATATATGGCCAAATGATTTTTGACAAGGATGCCAAGACTACAGTGAATAAAAGACAGTCTCCTTAACAAATGGTGCTGGGAAAACTGGGATATCCACATGCAAAAATAAGTAAAATAAAAATTAAGCTGGACATTAACTTATATCATACATAAAATTAACTCAAAAGGGATTAAAGACGTAAACATAAGGCCTAAAACTATTAAACTTCTAGAAAAAAATACAGAGGAAAAAGTTCATGATACTGGATTTGAGAATTATTTCTCAGAAGTGACACCATAAGCACAAGGAACAAAAGAAAAAAATAGGCAAATGGAACTATGGGAAACTTTTGTGCATAAACAGACACGATCAAATTATGGACTGGGCAAAAATAATTGCAACTCATGTATCCGATTTGGGGTTAATATCCAGACTATATAAGGAACTTCTAAAACTCAACAGTAAATAAATAAATAAATAACCTAATTTAAAAATGAGAAAATGACTTCAATAGAAAACTCTCCAAAGAAGATATACGACTAGCCAATAAATACTTGAAAAGATGCTTGTCATCACTAATCATCAGGGAAATGCAAATCAAAACAATGAGACATCAACTCATACTCACTAGAATGGTCACTATCAGAAGAGCAGAATATAAATGTTGAGCATGTGGTGAGCCCTTGTGCACTGCTGATGGGAATGTAAAATGGTGCAGGTAGTACGGAGAGCAGTAGAGATACTTCAAAAATTAAAAGTACAGTTAGAATATGATTCAGCAATTCTACTTCTAGATATATATCCAAAAATAATTCAAAGCAGGATCTAAAAGATAAATTTTCACCCATGTTCACTGAAGGGGTAGAGTAAAATAGACAAGGGGTAGAGTGAAAACAATCTAAATGTCTATTGACAACAGATGGAAAAGGAAAATATGGTATATACATAAAATAGAATAGTATGAAATCTTCAAAAAAAAAAAAAGAATATTCTGTCACATGCCTCAACATAGGTGAACCGTGAGGGCATTATGCTAGTCAAAATATGCCAGTTGCAAAAGGACAAATGCTGTATGAATCCACTCATAAAAAGTATCTAAAGTAGTCAAATCATAGAAAAGAAAAAGCAGAAATGTGGTTAGCAAGGGCTGGAGGGATGATGAGGAGGGAATTATTAGTGTTTAGTGAGTACAGAGTCTTAGTGTTATAAGATTTAAAAAATGCTAGAGATCAGTTGCACAATACTGTGAATATACCTAACACTATTGAACTGTACACTTAAAAATGGTTAAGATTGTGAATTTATTAAGTGTTTTTTGTACCACAATAAAAAATGCAAGCAAAAAAAGATGAAGAAAAAATAAAAACTTTCATAAACATAATTTGAGGTAATTTTTACCAACAGAACTGATTTGTGAGAAATGTTAAAAGAAGTTCTTTAGAAGAAAAATGACATGGGTTAGAAACTAGATCTACATAAAGGAAGGAAGAGTCCTGGAGAAGAAATAAGTAAAATTAAAATAAAAACTTCTACTTTTCTTATTCTTACTTGATTTTACTTGTGAACAAACGAATGGCAGTTTGTTCAAAATAATAACAGCAATAATAAATTATGTATGCTATGTATGTATGTATGTATGTATAAGTGAAATGAATAACAGCAACGATACAAGGGATGGAGGGTAGAAATTAGGAATATTCTGTTATTATAAGGAACTTGTACTACCCATGAAGAAGTATAGTGTTATTTGAAAGTCAAATTGGATTAGTTGTAAATATACAGTGCAAGCCCTAGGGCAACCACTAAAAAAGAAAACACACATACATAAATAATATTAATATGCTAAGAAAGGAAAGTGGAATCATATGAAATGCTTAATTAAAACCACAAATTGTGAAAAAAAAAGTAAAACAAAAACAGAAACAAGGGCAACAAATACAGAACAATGATAAATATAATAGCTATTAATCTAACTATATTCATAATCACTTTAGATGTCTATGTCCTGAATACACTAATTAAAAGACAGATTGCCAGAATGGATCAGATTAAAAAAATAAGATCAGCTATATTTTCTCAAAAAGAAACCACTTTAAATATTAAGACACATCCCTGCTGTGATTCTGTCCTGTGCAGCTGTTCTCTGGGGCTGCAGTCATTTATCTCCATTTGCCTCCTCTACCACCTAAGTGCATGCCACCACCCCGGTGGACATGGACATTAGCCCCCTGAGGCCCCAGAACTATCTTTTCAGTTAGTTCTGAAAGGCCAAAAAAGATTATCACTTTAGGTTGATAATGATGAAAATGAGCACCAGTTATCTTTAAGAATGGCCAGTTCAGGGGCTGGTGCAAAGGATGAATTGCACATTGCTGAAGCAGAGGCAACGAATTACGAAGGCAGTCCAATTAAAGTAACACTGGCAACTTTGAAAATGTTTGTACAGCCAATGGTCTCCCTTGGGGGCCTTGAAATAACACCTCCAGTGATCCTACAGTTGAAGTGTGGTTTGGGGCCATTGCTTATTAGTGGACAGCACTTAGTAGCTGTGGAGGAAGATGCAGAGTCAGAGAAGGAAGAAGCAAAGTCAGAAGATGAAGAGGAGGAGTATGAAACTCATAAGTATATATGGAAAGCAATCTGCCCCTGGAGGTGGTAGCAAGGTTCCACAGAAAAAAGTAAAACTTGCCACTGATGAAGATGATGATGATGATGATGAAGATGCCAATGATGATTTTGATGATGAGGAAACTGAAGAAAAAATGCCAGTGAAGTAATCTATATGAGATACTCCAGCCAAAAATGCACAAAAGTCAAATTGGAATGGAAAAAACTCAAAACCATCAACACCAAGATCAAAAGGACAAGAATCCTTCAAAAAACAGGAAAAAACTACTAAAATACCAAAAGGACCTAGTTCTGCAGAAGACATTAAAATGCAAGCAGTTCATCAATTATGTGAAGAATTGCTTCTGGATGACTGACCAGAAGGCTATTCAAGATCTCTGTCAGTGGAAGAAGTCTCTTTAGGAAAACAGTTTAAACAATTTGTTAAAATTATTTCATCTTATTTCATTTCCGTAACAGTTGATATCTGACTGTCCTTTTTATAATGCAGAGTGAGGACTTTCCCTATTGTGTTTGATAAATGTTGTCCAGGTTCCATTGCCAAGAATGTGTTGTCCAAAATGCCTGTTTTTAAAGTTGGAACTCTTTCCTTTGCTTGGTTTTCAGTATGTATGGAATGTTATGATAGGACATAGTAGTAGTGGTGGTCAGACATGGAAATGGTGGTGAGGCAAAAATATACATGTGAAATAAAACTCAGTATTTTAATAGAGTTAAAAAAATTAAGACACATAGATTCAAAGCAAAGATATTGACAAGAATATCATGTAACACCAATCCAAAAAATGTTAAAGCAAGCATATTTTCAGATAGAGCAGACATCTGGGCAAGAAAAATCATTACAGATAAAGACAGAAATTACATAATAATAAAGGGATCAATTCTCCAAAAAAAAGTAACAATATGGCCAGGAGTGGTGGCTCATGCCTGTAATCCTAGCACTTTGGGAGGGCGAGGTGGGTGAATCACTTTAGGTCAGCAGTTGGACCAGGCTGGCCCAACATAGTGAAATTCTGTCTTTACTAAAAAATACAAATACTAGCTGGGCATGGTGGTGTGCACCTGTAGTCCCAGCTCCTCGGGAGGCTGAGGCAGGAGAATTGCTTGAACCCAGGAGGCAGAGGCTGCAGTGAGCCGAGATCGTGCCATTGTACTTCAGCCTGGGTGACAGAGCAAGAGTAAAAAAACTCTATCTCAAAACAACAACAACAAAAAACAAAAGAAAAAACCCATGCGCGCACACGACACACACAATATTTAATGTGTATGCGCCTAATAACAGAGTGCCAAAATATATAAGGCAAAAACTGATAGAACTGCAAGGAGAAACAGATGAATCTGCTATTACAGTTGGAGACATCGACACCCCCCTATCTGAAATGGACAGATCCAGCAGGCAGGAAATGAATAAGGATACAGTTGAACTTAACATCAGTACCAGTCAACTGGATTTAATTGACATACAGAGTACATCATCCAACAAGAAGTAGAATATACATTCCTTTCAAGCTCACATGGAACATTCATCCACTGAGAGACCACATTCTGGGGCATAAAGGATACTTTAACAATTTTTTAAAAAATAAAAATCATACAATATTACCACTCAGACCACAATGGAGTTAAACTAGAAATATATAAATACCAATAGCAGGAAAATTCCAAAACGTGGAGATTTAAAAAAACACTTCTGAATAACAAGTAGGTCAAAGAAGAAATCTTAAGAGAAATTTAAAAATATTTTGAAAATAAGGATACAACATATCAAAATCTGTAAAATGCAGTGAAGTTACCAAAATAGCAGAATAGAGGCAATCTGAAAAAAATGAGAAACAACTATACAGTGACAACATTATCACCACCAATATTCCAGAACTCAAAACTGAGGTTGTGACAATCCTTGGTGTCACAAAGAAGTGAAAAATTATGGGTAGAAGAGAGAATGGACTTCTTCATCCATGATGCTCCGCTCCTAAGTTGTTAGGCACTGGATAAAAAAAGTCTCCCGAGACTCATGGTTCCTATCCTGGAGAAACTGAGACTGAGGTAGACAGATAGCTTCTCCACCACCTAGGGTTACTTTGCAGGAAAGTGATTCCTGCCTTAGCCCAAGGAAGCATTGCTAGTGCCTTTTGGGAAAAAAATCTGAGGACAGCTATGGACAATCATGGAAGTAGGGCTAGGAACTCCAGCAAAGGAAACCTGGGGCTGCTCTTTATCTCTCAGCCAAAGGAGATGCCAAATCAGAGAGAAAGTAGATCAGCAGCAGTAGAAGTCACATTCCATGGGTCCTCTGGGCACAAACTCCTAGGTAATTCCCTTCCCTGCCAACCTCAGCCAGGGAATCCCCTTTTGAATATCCCCCTAACCCAAGATGAAAGTGCACTAAACTTTTGTGAAAGCTACGCAAACCTGGGCTTAGGGTGCCATCTAATGCTGAAAAGAAGGCAGTGATCTAAGTCTAAGGGAATAAAACAAACCACATACACACCTGAAAGACCAAACCAAGGCAGACAGCAATAACTAGAATAACATATCAATGTGAAGACATACATGGACATTTGTAAGAAACAACATCAAACAGGGAACCACAACCTTCCTGAATGTACAAAGCAAGGAGCTAGTGACTGACCCTACCAACTTGAGACAAAGATGTGTAAGCTCTCTGATCAAGAATTCAAAATAGCAATTTTGAAGAAATCTGGGGAACTCCAAGATAGCACAGTAAAAAACTTTAGAAACTTAATCAGAAAAATTTAACAAAGAGATTTAAAAAATTAAAAAATAGAAGTCCTGGAACTGTGAAATACATTGGCTGAACTGAAAATGCATGAGGGTTTTGACAGTAGAATTAATCAAGCAGAAGAATCAGTGAGCTCAAGGACAATTTGAAAATACATAAAGAGAGGACACATAGGAGAATAAAAAGGAAGAACACATGTGAGATCTAGAAAATAGCCTAAAAAGAGCAAATTTAAGAGTCACTGGCCTACAAGACAGAGTTAAGAAAGAACAAAGGGTAGAAAGCTTATTCAAAGAAATAATAACACAAAACTTTTCAGATCTATAGAAAAAAATAAATATCCAGGCATAGGAAGGTCAAAGAATACAGTACCCAAGAGATTAAACCCAAATAAGACTACCCCAAAGGCATACACTAATCAAATTCTTAAAGGGCAAAACCAAAAAGGGAAGTCTAAAAGCAGGAAAAAATGAAGCAGCATAACATATAAAGAGCTCTAAGTCATCTGGACATCCAGTGGAAACCATACATGACTGAAAAGAGTGGGATGACATATTAAAAAGCTAAAGGAAAAAAAGAAAATAAAACCCTGCCAATTGAGATTACTATACCCAGCAAAGCTATCCTTCGACCATAAATGAGAGATAATAACTTCTGAAGACAAACAAAAGCTAAAGGAATTTCATCTTATAAAAAATGTCAAAGCTAGTTCTTCAATCTGAAACAAAAGACACATGCAACAAAAAAATACCTGAAGTTATAAAAGTATTGGTAAAAGTAGGTAGACAAATTTAGAAAATCTAATACTGTAGCTGGTATCTCTAGTATGAAGACTAAACCTACTAAAATAAAATAATAAACTGTTAAAAGTTAAGTAATATAAAAAGATGTAAATTGTGTCAACGAAAGGTCAAAACGAGTGTCAGGGGGATGAAATAACAATGTAAAGTTTTTTGTTTTTTTCTTTGTGATCAACATTGAGTTCTCATATATTCAGAATAACTTATAAGATGTCTTTTGAAAGCCTCATAATAACCACAAAGCAAAACACCTATAATAGGTAACACTAAAAATAAAAAGCAAGTAATTAAAACATACTACCAGAGAAAATTATAAAATCACAAAGAAAGAAGAGAGGGGGAAGGGCATAGGGAGGGGGAAGGGAAGGGGGAGGAGAGAGGAGAGGGAGTTATAAAATAACCAGAAAACAAACAACAAAATGACAGGATTAAGTTCTTACCTATCAATAATAACAATGTAAATGAACTAAATGTTCTAATTAAAAGACACAGAGTGATAAAATGAATAGAAAAACAGAACCCAATGATATACTGCCAGTAAGAAACACTTCACCTATAAAGACACAAACACTGAAAGTAAAGGGGTGGAAAAAGAGATTACATGAAATTGGAAAACAAAAAAGAGCAAGAATAGCTGTATTTATATCAGATAAAATAAACTATAAACACTATAAAAAGAGACCAAAGACATCACTATATAATGATAACTGACATTTGCAAAACATTTCATCCAACTCTGTGGAATATACATTCTTCTCATCAACACATGAAACATTCTCCAGGACAGATCACATTAGGAGAAAAAACAAATCTCAGCAAACTCAAAAATGTCAAACTTATATCAACTATCTTTTTAGACCATGGTAGAATAAAACCAGATTTTTATTCTTTAAAAAAAAAAAACAACTTTGGGCTAGGTGTGGTGGTTCATGCCTGTAATCCCAGCAATCTGGGAGGCTAAGGCAGGCAGATCACTTGAGTCCAGGAGTGCAAGACCAGCGTTGGGAAACATGGTGAAACTTCATCTCTATTAAAAAAATACAAAAAATTAGCTTGGCATGGTAGTGCATGCCTGTACTCCTAGCTGCTTGGGAAGTGGAAGCTGCACTGAGCTGAGACTGTGCAACTGCACTCCAGCCTTGGGCAACAGAGTTAGACACTGTATTAAAAGAAAGAAAGACAGAAAGAAAAAGAACTTTGAAAACTATAAATAAGTGAAAATTAAACAACATGCTCCTGAGTAAAAAATTGGTCAATAAAGAAATTAAAAAGGAAATCTAAATTTTTTTTGGGCAAATGAAAATGGAAACAGCATATCAAAGTCTATGGGACAAGCAAAAGCAATACAAAGTAAGAAGTTCATAGCCGTAAGTGCCTCCATCAATAAAAAAGAAAAATTTCATATAAACAACTGAACAATCCACTTCAAGGAACTAGAAAAATAACAATAAATAAAATCCAAAATTTGTAGAAATAAATAATATGGATCAGAGCAGAAATAAAATTGAAACTGAAAAAATACAAAAGGTAAATGAAAGAAAAAAATGTGGGCCGGGCGTGGTGGCTCACGCCTGTAATCCCAGCACTTTGGGAGGCCGAGGAGGGTGGATCACGAGGTCAAAAGATTGAGACCATCCTGGCCAACATAGTGAAACCCTGTCTCTACTAAATACAAAAAAATTTAGCCGGGTATGGTGGCACATGCCTGTAATCCCAGCTACTTGGGAGGCTGAGACAGGAGAATCGTTTGAACCCAGGAGGCAGAGGTTGCGGTGAGCCAAGAATGCGCCATTGCACTCCAGCCTGGGTAACAAGAGCGAAACTCCATCTCAAAAAAAAAAAAGAAAGAAAGAAAGAAAAAAATGTTTTTTGGAACGATAAGGCCACATATCTTTAGCTAGACTAATAAAAAAAAGAGAAAACACGTAAAGTATAAATGAAAACAAGCATTACAACCAGTACCTAGAAATATAATGATCATTAGAGATTTTATGAATAACTATATGCCAACAAATTAGATAACCTAGAAAAAACGGACAAATTTGTAGACATATAACACCTATCAAGACTGAACCATAAAGAAATAGAAAGCCTGAACAGACCAATAGCAAGTAATGAGACTGAAGCATAATAAAAAGGCTCCCATCAAAGAAAAGCCCAGGGCTGGCTGGCTTCACTGCAGAAAACTACCAAACATTTAAGGAAAAAGTAACAACACCTTTACTCAAACTATTTTAAGAAACTGAAGAGGAGAGAATACTTCTAAAATTATTCTATGAGGCAAACATTACCCTGATACCAGAACCAGACAAGGACAAAAAATAAAAATAAAAACAGAGAGTGAGAGAAAACTAGAGGCCAGTATCACTGATGAACACAGACATAAAGATCCTCAACAAAATACCAGCACTCCGAATTCAACACATGTTAAAAATACATTCACCATGATCAAGAGGGATTCATCCTAGAGATGTAAGGATGTTTCTAAATACAAAAATCAATAAACATGATACATCACTTTAACAGAATCAAAGAAAAAATATAGCTTCAGTATATGTTTAAAAAGAATTTGATAAAATTCAATATCACTTCATGATAAAAACTATCAAAAAACTGGGTAGAGAAGGAACAGAACACAAAATAAAGGACAGATATGACATACCCACAGCTAACATCATTCTGAATAGAAAAAAAACCTGAAAGCCTTTTCTGTAAGATCTGAAGACAAAAATGCCCATTTTTACCACTTTTATTCAATATAGTACTGAAAGTCCTACCCAAAGCAATTAAGCGAGAAAAACAAAGAAAGGGCTTCCGGCCAGGTGCAGCGGCTCATGTCTATAATCCCAGCACTTTGGGAGGTAGAGTTGGGTAGATCATCTGAGGTCAGGAGTTCGAAACTAGCCTGGCCAACATGGTGAAACCCTATCTCCACTAAAAACAAAAAAAATTACTCAGGCATGGTGGCACATGCCTGTAATCCCAGCTACTCAGGAGGCTGAGCCAGGAGAATCAGGAGGCAGAGGTTGCAGTGAGCCAGGATCACGCCACTGCACTGCAGCCTGGGTGACAGAGTAAGACTTTGTCTCAAAATAAGAAGAAAAGAACTTCTTTCCTTTCCAGTCATATTAACCTTGTTCACAGATGACTTGATTATATATTTTAAAAACCAAAGAAAACTCATCAAGAAACTGTTAAGAGGCTGGGTGTGGTAGCTCATGCCTGTAATCCCAGCCCTTTGGGAGGCCAGGGCAGCTGGATCACTTGAGGTCAGGAGTTCAAGACCAGCCTGGTCAATATAGTGAAACCCCATCTCTACTAAAAATACAAAAATCAGCTGGGTGTGGTGGTGGGTGCCTGTAATCTTGGGAGACTGAGGCAGGAGAATTGCTTGAACCTGGGAGCCAGAAATTGCAGTGACCTGAGATTGCACCACTACACTCCAGTCCGGGCGAGAAAGCTAGACTCCATCTCAAAAAAAAAAAAAAAAAAAAGAAGAGAGAGAGAAACTGTTATAAGTAATAGCAAATTCAGTAAAGTTGCAGGATACAAAATCAACATACAAAAATCAGTAGCATTTGTATATGCCAATGGCAAACAATCTGAAAAATAAGAAAGTAGTCTCATTTACAATAGCTACTAATATGGTTTGGATATTTGTCTCCTCCAAATCTCATGTTGAAATGTGATCTCCAATGTTGGAGGTGGGGCCTGGTGGAAGGTGTCTGGGTCATGGGGGTAGATCCCTCATTAGTGGCTTGGTGCCATTCTTACAGTATTGAGTTCACACTCTACAAGTTCACATGAGATCTGGTTGTTTTAAAAGAGCCTAGAACTTTCTACTCTCTCTCTGTTTCAGGGCTCACAGAGCCCTGAAACATGGGCTGAAATATGGGCTCTCCATGTGACATGCCTGCTCTGCCTTTCACCTTCCATCAGGATTAGAAACTTCCTGGGGTCCTCACTAGAAGCAGATGCTAGCACTATACTTCCTATACAGCCCATAGTACCATGAGCCAAATAAACCTCTTTTCTTTATAAATTGCCCAGCCTCAGGTACTTCTTTATGGCATTGTGAATGGACCAATACAGAAAATTGATACCAGGAGCAGAGTGTTGCTATAAAGATACTGAAAATGTGGTGGCAGCTTTGGAACTGGATAAGGAGCTCACGCCTGTAATTCCAGCACTTTGGGAGGCCGAGGCAGCTGGATCACTTGAGGTCAGAAGTTCAAGACCAGCCTGGTCAACATAGTGAAACCCCATCTCTACTAAAAATACAAAAATCAGCTGGAACAGGCAGATGTTGGAAGAGTCTGGAGGTCTTGAAAGAAGACAAGAAGATGAGAGAAAGTTTGGAACTTCTTAGAGACTGGTAAGTGGCTATTACCAAACTGCCAATAGAAATATGAAAAGCTGATACTGATAACATCTCAGATGTAAATAAAGAAGTTATTGGAAACTGGAATAAAGGCCACCTTTGTTATGCCCTAGCAAAGAACTTGGATGCATCTGTCAATGTCCTAGGGATCTGTGGAAGTTTGAACTTATGAGTGATGACTTAGGGTATCTGGCAGAAGTCTCTAAGCAGCAATGTGCTCAAGCAGTAATGTGGCTGCTTCTAATAGCCTATGATCAATTATGGGAGCAAAGAAATTACTTAAAGTTGAAACTTTTATTTAAAAGGGAAGCAGAGTGTAAAAATTTGGAAAAATTTAGAAAATCTAGCCATGTGATAGAGAAGGAAACAGTATTTTCAATAGAGGAATACAAGTAGGCTATGAACTAACCACTTGCTAGATAGATTAGCAATACTAAAAGGAAGCCAAGTGCTAATATCCAAGACAATTTTTTTAAAAAGTCTCAAAAGGCAGCCCCTCCCATCACAAGCTCAGAGGCCTAGGAAGAAAGAATGGTTTAGTGGGTCAGGCCTCCAGAGCCACTGCCCTGCACCACCTTAACAGGCTGGTCCCTACATCCTGGCTGCTCTAGCTCCAGCCTCAGCTCTAAAGGATCCCAGTACAGTTTGGAGCACTGCTCTGGAAAGCACAGCTATAATCCTTGGTGGCTTCCATGTGGTGTTAAGGATGTAGTTGTACAGCATTCAAGAGTGAAGACAGCTTGGCAGCTTCCAACCTAAATTTCAGAGGATGTATTACAAAGCCTGGGTCCCAGGCAGAAGTCTGCCATAGGACATAGCCCCCACACAGAAACTCTGCTAGTGCTAGGAGAAATGTGGGGTTGGATTCCCAACACAGACTCCTACCAAGGCACTGCTAGGTGAAGCTAGGGGAACAAGGCCGCTACCCTCCAGACTCAAGCAGGGTAGAGCCA